CAGGCCAGGGGCAGCCGGCTGGGGGGGCCGGCACGCTCCCTTTCACCCGCCGAGCGCGGTGCCTCTGCTCAGCTGCCCCCGCGGTGCTTTCGGGGCTGTGTGACAGCACGCTCCTTACTGCCTTACTGCCACACTGCTGCAGCTGCTTCCTGCAGCCCAGCCTGACATGTTTACAGGAGAGGACTTGTGCCACTGTCCTCTGCGCTCCCAGGGAGGACAAGGCCTCTCAACTCTGTCCCCAGGTCAGCGGGGAGAGCATGGAGGGACAGAAGGGCTGAGGGACAGGGGAGCTGTGGGTCTGTTGGGTGCTGCCTGTGTCCCGCGCAGCCTCGCCAAGGCAGGCTCGCTGCCACCCCTCTCCCAGGGATGGGGAGGGAAGATCCTGCTCACGTGTTTACATGCCGTTTGGGACTGGCATGCAGAGGGAAAGCCTGCCAGCTCCACGTGCCAGGAACAGCCGGGTCCCTCTGTGCTCCCCTTTGGGAACAAGCTCATATCCATGTTAATCTCCGGCTGTGCAGTGCCAGTACCATAGTCCTGGGGTCCTGTCCCTGCCACACCGCAGGGCCAATGTTTCTGGCAAGTTGGGCACAGGGGCAATTTGTGTTGGTGCCAAATGGAGAGCAAGTGATAAGTGCCAAAAAAGAAGAGAGCAGCAGAGCTGGTGGCTGTCCCCGCAGAGCTGCTCTGGTTAAGAAGCAGGAGTCAGCCTGCGGCTTGGTCCTTGATAGTAGTGCTGTGGCCTGGGCTCTGGGGAGCATCCTCCTTGGGTTTGGTTTGTTTCTTTGGGGGGTTTGGTTGGTTTTGGTTTGTTTTTTTCCTCTCTCCATCTCCCAATTCGGTGGGCAGGTAGCAGGGAGATGCCCACGCTCTCCCCTGGCTGTGTAAAAGTGTATCATGGAAGCGCCAGAGTTGGAAATAAAAGTCTATAAAATGGTGCTGGCCTCTCTGCTGTCTCCCTGCCCCCGGGGCTCGGGGTCCATGGCTGGGGCTGCAGGCGCCTGGGTGTGGGGTGATGCTGGGAGGGGGCTTGGGCAGGAGCTTGCAGCCAGCTCCTGGGCTAAAGCGGAGTCACTGTGGCCTGGGGAGAGGTGACTTCAGGTGACAGGGACTTCAGGTGCTGCCAGTTACTTGAACTTGGCTGCCTCCAGGCCAGTTCACCCAGAGGTGGGGGTGGCTGGGGTGGTACCCCATGTTCCCAGCCCTGGCTGGCAGGTCTGCGGTGCCGCGGTGGCTGTGATTAGCTGTGGGGCCCATACCTGGCAGCAGCCAGCAACCACAGCCAGGAGCCCGGGTGATGCCAAGGGGAGAAAATCCAGCATCCGAAGGCAACGTGACCTCAGCAGGGTAGGGCCGATCCCGGCTGCCGGGAAGGAGCAGGAAGCATGAAGAGGAGAGACCAAGCGTGATCCTCATGCCCTCCGTCCCTCCCTTTCTTGCTGTTGGAGGGGAAAGAGCAGGTGAGCAAAGGGCAGTATTGATCCCCGGCACCCTGAGCAAGGGTCACCATCAATCATCATCCCTCCGTCCCTCATGGGCTTCCTCCTTAGCGCCGGTGAGCCTGACCCAGCCCTGGGCAGCCCCTGAGCAGCGGGGGGC